TTTTTTTTATTTTAGTAGTAGTAGTAAGAGGATGCGTGAAAAATTCACTCTTATTTTTTATTATTATTTTTTTTTTTTATTACTATTTTATTTTATTTTATTTTATTTTATTTTATTACTATTTTATTTTATTTTATTTTATTTGGTTTGAAATATATTTTCGTACAAATGTTTTATTACCTTTAACGCCATTTTTATTTTTTGTCTTTTTTTTATTTTGGTTATGGTTTTGACAATTGTTTTTATTATTTATACGATTATTAAGCAATTACTTTTTGGGTTTATTTTTCCTTCTTTTCTTTTTTTTTTTTTTTTGATGTCACGTTATCGAATTTATTTTATGCATGATAATAATTAGAAATAAAGAAAAAAAATGTTGATTCATTTATAAATTTTTCAAACAAAATGTATATTTCATTCATCATCAGATTTTATATTATATTATATATTTATTTGTATAAAATTATTTGTAAAGAAAAAAAAAAAAGAAGATAAACACACGAAGAAAAAAAAATACAAAAGAGAAACATTTATTTATATTATATGTTTAAGTGTAACATGTTAACATTTTAATTATCACACAAACAATTATTTGAAATAAAAATGAACATGATTTAAATTAATTTTAAATATTATTATTATTATCTATTTCTTTATTATAAACAAAACTGCAAACTGTAATAAAAATATTAAAAAAAAAAAATAAATCCAATCCCCTGTAATAATTACAATGGCAACAACAAAAATGATAAAAAATGTGAAAGATATAAAAGAATATATTTAACATAACCTACAATTTATTTCCAAATTTTTGTTGATTCAAAAATAATAATAATAATAATAATAATAATATTAATAATAATAAATATTAGGGATTGTATAAAGGGACAAATGCAGAGAAACAAGAAATTTCTCCACCATAGGAAATGTGAAATAGGGAGGTGGAAAATAAATGGTATAACAAGTTTTTTTTCTTTTTTTTTTCTTTTTTTTTCTTTTTTACTTTTTTTTATTTTTTTATTTTTTTTTTTTTTTTTTCATTTTTTTGTACGCTTGGTAATTTTACGATTTTTTTGGTAGATTTATTTTCTTACAATGCACATGTTTTATTTTTTATTTTTTTTTTTTTATCCGTGAAAAAATTAAATTCCGTATATGAAATTAGTATTTTTTTTTTTTTAGAGTATCGCGTTTCGGTACAAAATTCATTTTTGGGGCAGTCGACGGACGTTTTTTATCTTTTTTTGTTATTTTTTTTTTATTTTTTATTTTTTTTTTCTTTAAAGGAGACGTTGTTGTTGTTGTTGTTAATTGTTGTTGTGTAATTAATTGTTGTTATAATGTTGTTATAATGTTGTTGTTGTTTAAAAAGCGACGCCCACCTCGCACCCGTCGAAAATATTCTCCTTTTTTTGCTTCCATCTTTTTTTTTTTTTTTTTTTTTAGGTTAACACACATTTCACAGTACTTGTTTTTTATTTATTTATTTTTCAATTAGAATGATGAACGCCTCCTCTCATTGTAATTGGTATCACGAATTCTTTCTTTTTCATTTATTCATTTATTTATTTATTTATTTATTTATTTATTTATTTATTTATAATTATTATAACTTTGACCAACTCGACTCACCCCCTTTTCCTGCATTTAACACACATTTACCAGTTTAACACATCATTAATTTATTTTCTTTTTTTTTTTTTTGGTTTCTTGTCCCCATTTGTTGTTTTTCCTTATTTTAATTTTTTCTTTTCTCATTTTTTTTTTTTTTTTAATCGTAATTATCTCATATCTTTGTTTTTTTTTATTTATTTATTTATTATTAATTGTTGTTGTTGTTATTACTATTTTTTTGTTTCTTTTTCTTCTTTTTTTCATATCTCGCAAAGAAACTGAACTTGAAAACTTAATTGACCCAGTCACATCGTGATACCCCTTTTATTTTTTTTTTATTTATTTTTGTTTTTTAATTTTCTTCACTTCTTTCAACCCTCTTCTTTCAACCCTCTTCTTTCAACCCTCTTCTTTTTCTTTATTCTTATTTCTCTTTTGAATTATTATTATTGTTATTACATTATTTTCTGCTTTTAATTTCACTCATCATACGGTGATTTCATTCGGTTGTTGAGTTGTATGTTTTTTTTATTTTTTTTTTTTATTATTTTTCTTTTTCCAGAATAAAATACGACAAAGATTGAAACATTGAATTTTCTTGTACAATAAACAACTTTGTAGTTTACTTTTATTAATATTATTATTAGTGTTATTATTATTATTATTCATTTGCATTGAAGAATAAAAAATAATGAGAAAAGAAAAAAAAAACTTTGCATTTTTGTTCAATTGAAAATCAATTCTTTGTCGTAATTTAATTTATGATCATCTTCATAATAATTATTTATTTATTTATTTATTTATATATTTTAATAATAATTATAATTGTTTACTTTTGCGTATTTTTGTGTTGTTTTCTTTTTCTGCCTTTTGTTTGTTTTTTTTTTTATTTCTATTTAAGATCGAATATAATACGCGACATAAATTTGCGTGTAATTTTTTTCTTTTTTCTATTTTTTTTTTATTTTTTTCTTTAGCTGTGTTTATGATCATTTGAACGTTCGTATTTAATTTAACAACACACACACACACACACACACACACGTACACACCCCTTTATTATTATTATAATTTTTTTTTTTGTTTGCGACATTAAATTAAAACAAATATTCATCCGACGAGTGTTTTTTAGCATTTTTTTTTTTTTTTTATTTGCGCTCTGCTCTGCTTGCTTGCTTGCTTGCTTTTTCTATTTTCTTTGTTTTACTTTAATCGCTTTTGATGATGATAATAAATAAACCCCTTTTTTTTATATCAATTTGTTTTTTATTAACACACACACGCACACATCATCATCATCATCATCATAATCATCATAATCATTGTAACTCGATATTTGATGTTTCTTTATGGTGGCTAACGCATATTTCCAATTTTGTTTCTCGATGACCTAATTTTTACCTGGCCTAATTTTTTTTTTTTTTTTTTTTTTGTTAATTTTAACCTGCCCACAGATTTTTAGAATTTAAATTTGACTCATTTTTATTTTTGAAACAAGGTAGACGACACCATCTTTTTTTTACAGTATTATTATTAATTATTATTAATTATTATTATTATTATTATTATATTATTATTATGCACACACATATTGTATTATGCTTATTGTTTGTTTGTTTATTATTTCTTGGTTGTTTTTTTTTTTTTTTTCAATTTTTTTTATCTTAACTTTCATATTCACTGTTAACACATGCATTTTAAATTCTTTTTTTTTTTTTGCAATCAATTGAAACAATTTTTTTTGCTTTAACTTTGCTTTGCTATTTTTATTTGTTAGGTTATCTTTTTTGAAGGGTGGGGGGTTGGGCTTTTTCATTTTTCTTTTTTTTTTTTTTTTTTATTACTTTGTGTCTTTTTCTTCTTCTTCTTCTTCATCATCATCATCAATTTTTTACAAGCACGAGGGTTCACTTGGGGTATCCTCTTTATCATTTTTTTTTTGTGTGTTTGTTTATTTATTTGCATTAATATTATAATTATTATTATTATTATTATTTTTGCAATTTCTTCTTCTTCTTCGACTACTACTCAGCATTTTTTTGGTGTTCATTTTTTTTCTCTGTTGTTTTATACTTTTTTCTTGTTAAGAAAACGAACGGTTACGTTGTGTTTATAGTTGAATGCAAAAATGCATAATTAAAAATTTAAAAGAAACACAATACAACGAATATTATAATAAACAATTCAAATCAAATTATTTCTATTAATAATTATTAATAAAATATCACTCTGATTTAATTAAAAAAAAAACAAAACAAAAAGAATTCTTTGATGATCTAATATTTAAATTGCATCAGATACAAATACACAAACAGAAGTACACAACAGACACACACACACGCACACACCAACGAATGAAAGAAAGATTTAAAGAATTTCTTACATTAGAAAATAATAATAATAATAATAATAAGTATAATAATTTATAATAATTTATAATAAATTTTAGTAACGTAACCGCACGTAGAATAAACATTTTTATACCCTCCTCCACTCTTTGTTTCATTTTTTTGTTTTTTGTGTTTTTTGTTTAAGCACCGCATTTACTTTGGCGTTGCACACAGCACACACCTTTTTTTTCACCTTTTCTTTTGACTCTCTCTCTCTCTCTCTCTTTCTCTTTCTCTATCTCTTTTGCAATAATATTTTCAAAATCAGCATTTAACTTTATTATCTTCTTTTTTTTTTTCATTCATTAGCTACTTCAAGTTATTATAAATTCCAATCACGAGTGACTACTAAATTGTGTTATACAAATCAAACATCATAGTTCTTTATAATAATAATAATATACGCTACAGAAGGACTCTCAACACACACGAATGATGATGGTAGTGGTGATAGTAATAGTAGTAATAATATTAGTAATAATAGTTATTTTCTTAACCCTTTAACTGCCACACCAAAATCATGTTTTACCCAAGACGCCATAGTATTATTTTTATTATTCAAAGAATATTATTGCAAAACAATAATAAAACAATTGTAATTGTTCAATAGAACACTCTTTTTACTTCAAAGTATCTTCTAAAATATCAATCATAATTCAAATACACTATCTATTTTAATTCAGTTTTTTTTACAATTGTAAAAGGGGTTCATACGACTGTGGTCATCAATGACACCACTGTGATGTC